CATCAGATTACCATCTTTTTTGTTTGCTGCAACACCGTCTTAATGGGAAAACAGATTGTAAGATGGAAAAGCATCATCAATAAGAATGGAGACTGTTTCATTTTATAAATGTTTTGTTTTGTTATATATATGGGTTGTTCGAGTTTTTTCATTTAAAGTAACGTGACATTAATTTCTTGACGACCTAATACATCACTATAAAATGAAAAAATGGTGATCGTTTAGATATTTTCACCCAGATGAAAAGACTAAAGTAGGAAACCATTTATTTTTATAATGAACTTACTTGTCATTGGACATTAGTATTAGGCTTATTTAATTTTTTAACACTGCATTCTATATCTAGTCCTTTAGAGATTTTCAAGGGTTAGAAGAGTATACAGAAATAATGTTCCAACTGCACTGATTGATTATGCAAATTGTTTTATGAAAACGTTGAAAAAAAACAGACAAAAAATAGTACTTTCCTTGAGGAAATATACCAGATTGATATTTTAGGTCACATGGCATTTAAAAAATATTAACTTTTCTGAAGATGTATATAGTTATTAGAAAATTATTTCCTGCTGTTTGATCATTCTATACTTGTGATTCATTAATGCTTCCAATCCTAATTAAAGTAGTTCTTATTAATTATGGTGAATGCTGTCATGCAGAAAAAAATTCAGTCACTGCTAAAACTGACAATCATTAATTTGTAGACTTTTTATTACTGATCAGGTATTTTTGAAGAAGTTTACTGCTTGTCAGAATAGGAATTGTTGTTTTATGTGATTGCTGTTATTCTTTCAACTTCAAGATGTATATCTACTTCTCAAGATGTCACGAGAAAAATCATTCCGTGCATAAGGAGTCACATCAGTTGATGATGTGTTACACTGCATATATGTGAACTTGAGAATTACAGATAGATAGCATTGACATTAAGAAGGTTGAAGGAGGAACTCTGTGACCAAAGGGCATTCATCTGGACTATTCCTAATGAAACTGTATGGCCAAAGAGCATATATTAGGACTTTCCAAATGAAATTCTGTGGCCAAATAGCATTCACATGGGCTATTCCTAATGAAATTCTGTGTCCAAAAGGCATTCATCTGGATTGTTCTTGTAGAAACTCTATGGCCAAAGGACATTAATCTGGACTATTCTCAGTGAAGCCCTTGGCCAAAAGGCATTCGTCTGGACTATTCCTAAAGAAATTATGGCCAAAGGGCATTCATCTGGTCTATTCTTAATGAAACTCTATGGCAAAAGGGCACTCATCTGGACTATTCATAATGAAACTCGTTTGGCCAAAATGTGGCTTTAAATATGATGAGCATTGTATACCTTTACTCTTTTTTCATGTGTCATTAATCCTCACCTTAAAATCTGGTTTTTAAATACCTTAGATAAAGTGATAATAAATCACACCACAACAGTTGGTGTTTATAAAAATTGATAATATATGTATATAATGCTGAAACCACTGCTATATCTGTTGTATCCCAGCTGGCTTGATGAACCCTTGGGTGAAAGGCTTCTTCAGACTGAATATGACATATTGTGTGGTTGATATGTTATAACATATTCTTCTTTGCTTTCACTCATAAGTTCTTAGAATTATAATAAAATGACTTATTTTTATCATTGTCTTGTTTATATAAAAAAGCAAGCTTTTGTTAAACAGAAATTTTTTCAGCAAGTATACATTTTTCATTGATATTTCTTAGCCAAATGGATGACATCATTGTGTTTTAACTTTATTTGGAAATTTATTTTGTTGTAACTATCTTAATCACATGAAACACCCCTTCTGCTGTTTTCCTCCATGTGATGATAAGAAATTAATGATATTATTTGAAACATGCAAAAGATTCCTTGTCAGCTTTACTAGGTAACATTTAAGTGTCTGATTTTTCAGGTTTTCATATGAAGGTATGTGGAGAAGAAAGTTACAGAATTATGTTGATTTCCCCTTGACAGATTTTGACATGAAACCATATGTAAACATGCCTGCAACAAAGTCATACAATTTGTATGGAGTTACAGTAAGTGTTTTAACTAACTGGTGTGATGATCACTTTAAGGTTATTTATTTTAGTACTGTGTGTTTAGCCTTTAAATGTCTTCATTACTGAAGACTTTCCCATGTAGAACTGTAACTCTATCCTTCCAGATTTATTCAAAAAGTGTATTCAGTGCTATGCAGCTGAGCATTGTGTAGCGTTTAGTATGCTGAACTGTGAATCTAAGGGTCCATGGCTCAAATTTGTGTTGCCACAAAAATCAAGCTTTACACTTTGCTATGAGTGTTTAATAAGAGTAATGATAAAATAACACTATTCAGTTAAAGTAACTCATCAGTTGGTGGTGAGTGCTGTTGATTAGTGGCCTTCCCCTTAGTCTGTATGTTTAAAATTATGGATGGCTAGTGCAGATAGCCCTTGAGTAGATTTACACCAGTAACCAAAACAACCAACCAAACAATCAATCAATGCTGTAACTTTAGCAGTCAGCTGTATTTATATGTGTATTGATTAATGCCCAGAAGTACTGTGTTATTCTTGTTTTGCCTTGTATTCATTACTGAAAATTTAGACTATCTGTTATCATGTGTTCAGAGCTTGTCCTAGGTAAAATTGTGGCCTGTGCGAGCTTTGTATATGGTGCCCCTGCCCTTGTAAAATTGACAAGAACTGCTAATTGCATTGTCGATTTTGGTGCCCCCTGGGGTGGGTGCCCTGAATGGGGGCACATATTGACCACCCCAAGGGTCAGTCCTCCACGTTTCTCAAGAAGCCAGCCTTACATATCTATGATGTCAAATATAGTGTTTCAAAATACCGGAATCATGACTGTACAAAATGATCTGCTTTTAACACGTATGTTTCAGTTGCATATACCTTTGTTCATTTGAATTATACACATTTTTAAAAATTTAGAGCAATAATTGCTATTTTACTGTTGAACATGTGTGGCTTTCTTCATTTTATTTCAGTATAAGAAAAAGAGTCAGTTAATCCACACTGTGATACAGAAATAGTTGTAAAGATTTTAGAAGGGAGAAAATAATTCTAAGAAAAGTCCAAGCAAATATTCATTTATATGTTTTAATTTTTGTTGAAATGAAATATGTGTTACTTGAGTGTTCCACCATTTTATAATGCATTGAAAAAAATATATACACAAACATATTTAAATATTTGAGAATGATCAAAGCTGTATAAATACGTTTAAATGTTTAATTTTTTTTTACTTGCATAAATTTACTGAATTTATATGTAATAAGATATAATGTAGGTATAATCGTGCTTTAACTTAGATATTAATTTATTTTAGAAACACTGGATTTCTGTTATCTAAATAGACCGCTGTCAAAAGTGAGAAGTAGATAAAATAAATGTGCTGTGAAAAACACTAAAATATTGAAATTCCCCTTTACTGAAGGTGTTTTGTTAACTGAACATTACCTTTCCTTATAAAGTGTTCATAGGTATTGAACAACAAAATTTTGTCAGGTTTTTTTTAGTATAGATGGAGTTTGTTTTTTTAATTCCACCTGTTGATTAATGAGCAGATTAAATTGGACAGCAACTTGCAGAATTCTAAAGAACTTTATTTGCTTTTGTAAACAAGTCAACAGATGGTATTATATAGTTGTTAAAAATTGTTGCAAGCTTTTGATAATAATTGCTGGTGACAGTTGAAAGTTCTGATTTTAACCAGTATATAAAAATATTTTTTGAAGTTGTTTCATTACAACTTATAACATTTTATCAAATTTCAATTATGTTGCCGTAATTAAGCTTCTGAACTAATACTTGAATTATTTTTTTGTGTACAGAACCATTATGGGACTTTGGAAGGAGGCCATTGTAAGTATTAAGCTAATCTGAATATCACATGTTGTAATCAAGTAGATATATATGTGTTCAAGTACCCTAAGTTGGGTTTGTAGGCAACACACACACATAGACATACCCTCCCCAGTTGTACAACTTTGGGCTGCCAATATACTTATGAGACAGCTTTCTCAATAATGTCTGTAGTATCTTTTTTAAAGAGAAGACAGTTATTTATTCACGGAGTTACAAATTTTATTCATCTAGGGACTAGAGCGAAGAATGAACAGTATTTTACTAACTTTTATTCCCGGTGTACCTCATTTGTTGTTTCCAAATTTTTTACCTTTTTCCTACTTTATGACTGTCAATAAAGTACTTTATATGTTACAAGTCATAAATACAATTTGTTAGTCAACCTTAGTACTTTTTTTTTAGAAAACTTACTACCCTAATATGTTTACAGATACAATCAGTATCACATACTTGACTGGGTGTTAGGGTGTATGCCAAGAAATTGTTATTTTCAATTTTTAAAAGCTTAGAACTTTGAAGTCTATCTTATCTAATATTTAATGAGCCCCTCTGGAGGCTCAGCAGTAACCCTTAGGACTTATAATGCTAAAAATTGAGTTTTGGTACTTGAAAAGGACAGAGCACAGATAGCCTATTGTGTAGCTCTGTGCTTAATGAATGTTTGCATGCATGGAAAATCTAGAATTTTGCCTGGAAATTCTGGAAAAATTCTTTGGAAAGAATGTGGCCACCCTGTGGTGTAGCTGGAACATCCTGAGAAATATCATAGTAAAAGCAATTACTGGTAACAGCAAGAATACCCAAATGATGACCAATACTATGTAGGATGTTCCAAAAGTTGGTTTCCATAGGCTGAATGTCTATACATGTTTATAGCATACTCTCAAAACAATCTCCATTAAAAGTCAATACAATACTGAAGATGTTCAGTCTTGATCACCTCTGCCTGTTCATTGGTTCTTAGTGCCATTTTGTACAGTTCTGCAAAGAAATAAGATAAGCAATATTCATTTCCTCAATATTACACTGACAACTAACTTTTGGGACATCCTGCAATTAAGTCGGGGCAGGTCTTAACATTGCCCAGATACTTGTTTTTAAAGAAGCTGGCTATATCTTGATATTGTTTTGTGATTTTCGTTATAAATTATTGATTAGGTAAAAAGAAGATATTAATTGCTGAAGTTTTTATCAAGAAATGAAATATAGAGAGAGAAAGTATCATTCCATTCACTTAAAAATGGCAATCAAAGCTTTACTTGTTGAAACATCATCCGTGATCTTTCATTTTTAAAGACCCTACAGCTCAGGTACTTCAATTTTAGGGCTACACCACTACCGATGTCACAGTGCAACTCAGCTGTTGTAAATTTTAAGTCTCTAACTAAATTAACAAATATATATATATGACATTGTGATCATTAGACAGTTTTTCAACTCTAATAATTAGCTTTCCTAGCTGTACTATATTACCTAATTTACACTCAACTTAATACATCTACTTAATTAATATTATGAAAGTGTATTTCTTATGTATATTTTGCATTATACTTTTAACAGTTTTACTTTACTTTTTGAAAAGTTATTGAAAAATAACAGCTAATGATGCTTATTAGGCTGTTTATTTGTGCAGTACTAAACAGTTGTTGATGAATACTGACTTTGGAACACACCTACTCGTTATTATAATTTAATTCAGATGTTAAAGGAAAGTCTGTGACTTCTTACCCTGAGCACAGGGCAGTTTTAGGTTCCTTCTACAGAATGAAGTGCTAGCATTATAGCTACCAAGTGTTTGTATTCCTTATTGTATGTAACTGCTGTAGATAATCCTTATTAGTAGTTACATTCCACTTTTAGACCTACCAAAAAAATTGTAATATTTTTTCTTGAATAACATACAAATTCAGGTACAGCATGGTAAAACTAGAAGAGAGAAAGAAAAAAAATTACAATAAAGGAAAAATATTTATCTTGCAATAATTTATCCAAATGATGTTCATCAAGATCCTGATAATATGTAACAAAATGTTGGCTACAGTATTCTTTTTCCTCTTAACAGTAATTTTAGCCATTTCTTGATATTTTAACATTTTCACACAAATTGATTGAATAATTAAAGGATGTAAGAGGCTATGATGATACTGATTCCCTATGTGAATTTTAATGAATGTATATCTCTGTAATATTAGCCTTCATTGTGCTTTATTTATTCAATATAAGCTAGCTGATATGTAACAAAAACCTTTAGTTATGTGTGTTCGGTGTAAGATTGTGTAACGTAATGAAAACTATCATATCTTTATGTGTGCCCAATGTGAAACTGATTATTGTAAAAGAATTGTCCTTTTTTATGTTCGATGTAACATTGTTTATCTAACAGAATCCCTAATTTTACCTTGTCTGTTTTGTATAAGCTTTATGGTGACTGATTAAGTTAATTCACTATACTTTATATGCTAATGGAATTATATATTTCAGTTCACTTATACTGATGTAAATGAAGGTAAAATGGGCAACAATTGTCTGTAAAATTTGATGATGGTACAAAAGTGCTTCCGGTTTTCATCTTCATATTTGTATTGCTATATTGTATTTAATATTAACTTTGCGATGGCCAACAAGAGCTTCTATGTACTGTTACTGTTAAACGTAAATGCCTTAACATCTGAAACAATTTTGGGATCTGTTACATCTGCTTAATATTAAATTGCTTCTATTCTACAAAAAAATAATTATACCACATCTGGTAAGTATGGGTTTGCTCCAGGGCTTGGCAAATTTTAGGTGCCAGATCACTATGTTGCCTAACAAAATGACTTGGTATCTGGAAATATTTATTAAATGTTTCCTTAGAAAAAGGTGTGTTATATAATTGAACATCACAGAAAAAAATTGGTAGAATTTAAATTTACATAATTCTGCAGATTTTTAAACTTCTTATGTTTATTGGTGAATAGGCTCTCAGTTGCAGAGACTACTGAGAATCCTTGTATTTAGTCTGAAATTCAACAGTCCTCTTGGAATCCTCTGTTATGAGTAGTGGCAGTTGCTGCCAACAGTTTATATGTCTATGTTTGTATAGGGGTTAATCTGTGATTATATCAAATGCCTAGAAATAAGAGATTATTATATATTTTGAAGCTGTCTGGCATAGAAAAAGTTCTGCAACTTAGAAATAACTAGACATAAAAAGAATAAATTAAAAATAAGTTGAGGATAAATTAGGTTCACAAAGTTTCTGATCATTGTGTTGACTACTTGGTATTCAAGTAATTTCTGTAGATTGGCTAACAAAATACTGCTTTGTTTTGTCTTTATATACACTACACTTATCTGGAAATATAATGGTACCTGGTCAATTAAAGTAGTTTTTTTCTTGAGACACCCCACAACACTCGGACAGTTATAATTCTGGCGTAGTAGACATTGACTGTCATCACCTACAATCAAACAACATACATTATCATCACTACAGCTGACATCAGTCATAGCTTGGCCTGACATTGTTAACAGTTTTCTCTATCTAAGTATGCATACATAATTCCACCTCCCCCTCTCTGTGTAATATATTATAAATGGGGTGTATGGAACTTACTTAATTTCTAAGCACCCTGAGTTTTTAAATCCCAAATCTCTTCTGCGATGGAATGGATATTGAAGATAAATTCCATCGAGGGAATGTCATCAAACCCAACATTTTTTCCTATATATGGACCTTGTATGCTGAATTCCTCCTTTTACCTTTTATTTATTTGAAAGCTGAAAAATTGTGTTTTTAATAACTACTTTTAGGTAGCAAATAAAGTGTATAAACAGGTTCACATTGTATAAGGATTTTTTGATAATATTTTTATCTTATGAGTTGTTGACCTGTTCTTTCCAGATATTGCCCATGTGAAATCCAGTGTCAATGAAAAATGGTACAAGTATGATGATCAGGAAGTGTCTGAAATGAGCCCTGCTGATGTTAAAGTATGATTTCTACTATTTTTCGATGTTATTCATGGTGTCCATTTAATAGAAGTTTTGTTATGCCAGAAAGGAGTTCATTCTTTGTGTAGTAGAAAGTAAACAACTTGTACAAGATTAAATATTGTTCTTTGCTGCATGTTATGATCTAATCCAGTTTATTTGCTTGCTTCACAGATTGTTTTGCCTTTTACTGCTTATTATATCAAGAAAAATGTGCATTTGTGTCTTGTCTACTCTGTTGTTTGAGATGCCATATCTCCAGTAGCCCTAAAATTCTGTATTTTTAAATCTTCCTTAAAATCTAAGAAATAGCTCAAAAAAAGTTTCTAAAATTATACAAATTATTCTGTTTCCTGGTTATCTTGTTATGCTTGTCTAATGATGGTGATGATGGCTTTGACGTGGTTTAAAGAACTGATGGTTTCGTGGATTGAGCAGGAAATCATTTTGATAGGACTGGTATTTTTTTATTATAAAATTTCAAAAACAAATAAATGGGCACCACCAGAGGTAAGTTAAATATGGTTATGATGATGACAAAACCTTGTCGAAACATTGTACATTTGCTGTTATGTTAAACTTATATTAAAGTTT